CATCCATTATCTTTACCCGTTTGTTCCATTTTGGGTCACGGGGGTCGCTGGTGCCCATGTCCATCCATCACTGTGTGAGGGGCGGGGGACACCCTGGACGGGTCTCCAGTCCATCACAGGGACACCCTGGACAGGTCTCCAGTCCATCACAGGGACACCTGGACAGATCTCCAGTCCATCACAGGGACACCTGGACAGGTCTCCAGTCCATCACAGGGACACCCTGGACGGGTCTCCAGTCCATCACAGGGACACCCTGGACAGGTCTCCAGTCCATCACAGGGACACCCTGGACAGGTCTCCAGTCCATCACAGGGACACCTGGACAGGTCTCCAGTCCATCACAGGGACACATGGAGACAAACAACCATTCACTCTCTCACCTAGGGACAATTTAGAGTTACCAATCAGCCTAACATGCATGTTTTTGGTCTGTGGGAGGAAACTGGAGCACCCGGAAACAACCCACGCATGCACGGAGAGAACATGCAAACTCCACCCAGAAAGACCCCCTGGACCAGGATTTGAACCAGGGACCTGCTCACTGAGAGGCAGCAGCTCTACCAGTTGCGCCACCGTGCTGCCCTATAAATAAATATAAATATTTCAAAATGTATAAATGCACAAACGCCAAGAAACACAGCCGGAATGTCCTGAATGAGCCGAAGTCTTTGATGAGTTGTGTGTCTGAGTCCTGCCTGTGCTGCCTTGCTCATGAGCCGAAGCTTCAGTTTTGTTTTCTGGCCACAGACGTGAAATAATTTAATATCACCTGTTTGGCTGTCAGCCGGGTTAATTAGTTTGTGGAAATGGTAACCTGCTTCTCTGTGGGTAATTTGTCACACGGTGCCAGTGCAGCCAATCAGTGAGCGGCTGCTGCTGGGATCATTTCTCCCAGAATGCTTTGCAGGAGACGTGAAGCGAGCCTGCGTTTAGCTCGTTCAGTCAATAAACCAGCGGAGGGTGAATATGGCTCTCCCTACTCCCAGTTATAAGAGCTCGTTAATTCTCCTGTGCATGCATGTGCGCGTGTTTGTGGCCATATTTATGTGTGCACGTGTGTTTACACATGCACATGTATAAAAGTCTGTTTGTATTTTCATACAAAGAATGTCAGAATCAAATTGTGTGCATTTATTTCTGTTCTCACCCAACTGACCTATGGATTCAGTTGTGTGTAATGCCACGATGCACCCCTATACCAGCAGAGAGGCTGTGTGTTCATAAGAGGCTGGATGGTCCTCCGCTCTTTGAAGGACGTGGCGTCTGGACAGCTCGGTGGAGCAGTGGTTAGAGCTGCTACATCTGAGCAAGGAGGTTGCAGCTTCGCCACCAGGCCCAAGGCTTTAGTGGGCGGAGCTTGGATGTCCTACAGACCAAAAGCATGCATGTAAGGTGGGTCTCCACATGGTCCTGTAGACCAGTCCAGGGTGGACCTACTGGCACAGTGACTGCAGGAGACACAGGAAGGAAAAGGATGACGGTGCAGCAGCGCGTCGTTTTAAAGACCGCACAGAGAAAAAGAACGAACTGCTCAGCTGAGGCCACACAACCCATCAGCACTGACTGGAGAAAGACCTACAGCTTTGAAGGGCTGATGTTTGCACATGCACGTTATGAATCCTGATGTGATCGGACGAGCAGTCTGCCTCGTGATAGTTCAAGTAACATCTGGAGGATTTATTCATTTTGGTCAGTCGAGGAGGCTGGAGGTCGCTCTGTCGCTGACGAGGTTCACTGACGTCCCGCTGCGCCTCCATTGTCTTGTTTGAAAAGCTCCTAATTGTATTACATGCAAATGAAGGGATTTGATTTTTACCCATTATCTCTTCATGAGCGAAAATGAACAGAACATTAGTGGGTCACTGGAAGAAGGGGGAGGTAAAGGGAGGAGGGTGAGCAGAGATGATCAGCTTCCTGTCGGTGTAATGACTCTTTTAACTTTTAGCGCTGTGTAAAAATAATCCTCCACCCGTACGTGGAGAGACCGGGTCTGTATGTGTGGAGATAATCCTGTAGGTCAAGGCTGATAATTAACCTGTGATGACTGAAACGCAGCAATTACAGTCACGCTCATGTGACAAATCAAAGTGACAGAAGCCCGAATACACACCCCTTCCTGGTCAGCTTCAGACCACCATCACGAGTCGTACATGTTCCAATCAAACGCAGGTTCTGCTTTTCTTTTAATTAGGTCTTAGAGGGATCACCTGGTCCCTCCTGCAGGTTCAAATAGTTCTCAGTACCTGCTGTGACATCAGTCATACACTACTTAGCCTTGCTAGGCTAACAGTCAGCCAAACGAGGGCCAGATGTCTATTTTCTTTTTTGTTCCCCGTCGTGGAGCCAAGAGGAGGATTGGAAGCGCCCTCCATCCATCCATCTGTGTTGTGAGCGTGATAACTTAAAAAACAAGTTATCAACTTCCATTTTGGTGTGGGGGTGCATCTAGAGGTAAAAAAAGGTCACTCAAAAGTTGGGTTGCCAAGTCCAAATCCAAGATGGCCGCCACTATATGTATAAATGTAAACTGTTTCTGTAGAGTGTCTTTATAATTAAACATCAATTTAACCTTCATGTTTTACAACAACTTTAATTTCAGTGTGGATTTATACGTTCACGCACTCGAAAAAGCTCTTTATGATTAATTAATTTTCCTGTCAGTTAATAAATTCATCCCACACAAGTCAGCTCAGCCCTCTCTGCTGACAGTCAAGTCCTAACCAACGAGAAACAATCGCCCAACACGTTTCTGACGTAAACTTCAAAGAATCTGATATTTTTACCATTTTAAAACTTTAACTGCAAAGCATTTCTTAGAAAATAAAAGAAATGAGCAAATAATAATGAAAACTACATTGAAAACACACAAACCAGATTCCAAAAAAGTTGGGACACTAAACAAATAGTGAATAAAAACTGAATGCAATGATGTGGAGGTGCCAACATCTAATATTTTATTCAGAATAGAACACAAATCACAGATCAAAAGTTTAAACTGAGAGAATGTTTCATTTTAAGGGAAAAATCTGTTGTTTCCAAATTTCATGGTGTCAACAA